CCGTTGTGTGGTGCTGTTTCAGATTACACAGCAGGCAACCGCAGAAACCGTAGACAGACCCTGCCCCGCCTAAAGAGAGTATATTGCTATGCGTGTGTGTGTGTGTGTGGGTGTATATGTGAAAAACAAATCAAATATTTAAAGCTCAATGAAGCGCACACTTTGACACATGTTAAAGGCGGACGAGGCGGCATTTCAAGTGGATGTCAGGGCCAAGCGCTTGCAGCAGTTGTTTAGAAAAACTTTCATTGATTTGGCTTATCGAAGCAGCTGGCAGCTGGCATGTGGCATGTGGCATGTGGCAAATGCGGTTTCTTTGCAACAGACACCGCATAGATAAGATCGATGAGATATTTCACATAGCTGCATTCGCCTTTGAGTCGCTTGCGGTTTGCATCTGCAGTGCAATTAATTGAATTGAATTAGTTTTAGTTTTGGAATTTTCCATTCAGCTGCCTTATTGCTCGTGTCGAAATTTATGGGATTAATTGAACGTTAATTGGGCCGCACAATTGTCGCATCTAGCGCAGTGAAGCCTCAGCTGAATGGCACTCGCACTGGCCTTGAATGCAGATAGGCAAATCATCATCGATTGGCAAGCGACTGCATTAATTATTCAATTCATAATGCGCAGCCCGCCCGCATAGGTCAAAGGTCGCATGGTAATTGAAACCAGCCAGCTAAAGACTACACACATATTGTTAGCACTGTGACACTAGGAATTCATTAAATCCAATCGAAACGGCGGGAATAAAAGTGTTTGCCTTAATGGGAACGTTGTCAATAGGCAGATAAGCCGCTTAATGTGCTTGATTTCATTGGCTTTCATATGCGATGCAAGTTTTACAAGCCGGTTAGAACGGCCCTAGCGAGTAGCGGACGACCTGAAGATACCCTGTAGCGGTAAGGCCATAAATGGAATGGGAGTCGGTGTTGCTTTTATTTGCTCATTATTGACTTCCAACTTTTGTTTACAGTCAAAGTTTATGTCTGTTACCTAAAAGCCCAGAAGCAATGAGTGTAAATAGTTATGGCCTATAAAACAGTTATGCAAGTTTACTGCTTATAGAGCTAGAGTAAGTTATAAACAAATACTAAAAATTGAACCAGTTTGGCTATAAACAACAGCCGAGATACAACTCGAATACCCTTTAAATTAGAGTTGCATTGCACTCACATTAAAGCTCTCCAAGTTTAGACTCTCCTTGCGAATACTGAGCTGCCATAAGAAGCAAGAAATTTAATTCGGAAAACTATATCTTTGGATGCGGTTGTGGTCTCTGCAGCAGCGTCGAGCGTTTGTTGTGGTTTGTCTGTCCCATTTTGTGGTTCGCATTGAATGCATTGCAAACAATATTAAAGTGGGTCGCCTCGCCGCGTAGACGAGGGTTGGCCTCAGATACGGGCCTGGGCGATTGCTCGCTTATGCCGAGAGTCTGTTGGAGCGTGGCATTTAACCCTTTTTATGAGGCTCATCCAAAATTCGAAAATTCGGGCTGCCAGCACTCAGTGGGAGATAAACAGAAGCAGCGCCTCACTAAAAATTGAATGAAAAACAGAAAAAAAAACCCGTAAAAAAATGCAAAATAGTTGAAAAGTATGCAAATGAGAAAAAGCTGCCAGGCGGCTGAAAGAGTCCTTTGCTATATCTGTTGTTCTGGCCGGGCCAGGAAGGGTGTGAACAAAAAATAAAACAAGAACTAACTGAGTGAGTTTAACACCTGAGCATTGAGCAGAAAATGCGCTTTGCCTGCCGAAAAAAAAGAAGATGAAGAAGATGTGAAAACACAGAAAGAGCTGCAAAGCATAATATAAAAAGCCAAGTTGAAAACACTCTGCAGCAAAGGATTTGGAAATGAAAAGCAAACAAAAGGCCACAAACTTTGCAGAGTGACTTCTGCCAAAGCCAGATTAAAGGCAGATGGACAGATTTCGGAAAATGCGTAACAGGTTTGCAGCTTACGGCTCAAAGCCAGCCAGCCAGCGGCCTGATTAATCGAGAAAACGAAAACAGCGACAAGCAGTGCTAACTGTTCCGGCTATTCCATATTTCGCACACTTGCCACTGCAGCATTTAAATTAAAATAACTTCCCAGGCCACCCAAGCGTGCAGCGCATTAAAAACATACAGAAGCAAGCTGAACTGAAAAATAAAATAAGAAAGAAAACAAAATCTGACAACAACAAGTGCTGAAAACAAATCGCGCAGTGCCACAGCGAAATGAAAATTTAAAGCCCAGACTGCAGCAGAACTTGGCAATGCAAATGAATTAAAAAACTTTAATGAAACCTATCTGCAGTCAAAGAAAATCGCTCAACTTTTAATTAGTTTGCCATGCAACCAGCGAGCCTCAGCCGGGTCGGCTGAAAGGTGAGCTGAGGGCTGTGGCCGGGGGCAGGTGGGATTGGGTCACTTGCTAGACAGGCTTATAGCTTAAGGTTCTGCTTCAAATTACCCCACTCTCTCTCTCACTCTCTCTCTCTCTCACTCTCTATTGCTCTCTCTCGATTCGAGTCTGCTCTTGCCAGCACAATTCGACGCAGCTGCTGTCAAAGTTCAAGAAGCCAGCCGAGTAGCACAACAAATTTGAGTTTGTTTTCACAGTGAGCACATCGAACACAAGTACAGAAACAAAAGCAAATACAAAAGTGAATATGAATATCCGACTCTTAATTGACTTTGCCCAGCAGCTGTGCGGCTGCAACAGCCAAAACACGACAGAACACGATAAACGCCAAGTCAAATTAATTGAATATTGTGCAAACGTCATTCTCGCAATGCAATGCAACAAAAAGAAAAAAAAAAAAAACAAAAATCTCCTAGATGGAAGGGATGCAAGTTGTAAAGTGAGAAGCCAGGAGGAGGGGGGAATAATCAATAATGAACATAATACCTTCTCGCAAATCAGTTAAATTACTCTTGCTCATTAGCAAAAAATAAATAAGAAAAGGCTTGATTACTTGCAAGCGAGACTTTCAATTTAAATTTATTTAATAGACAGGGAATGTGATTTACGGTAGAGAGTATAAATATATCTCTTGATTTTAAGCTTTTTCTCAGAGAATAATCTTGAAAATCTGCCTTTTAATTTGCACTGAAATTAAAAGTATTAGCTGATAATTTCGATTTAATCACACTTAATTGAACTTAATTTTGAATAATTGTGATTGGCATGCATGAGATGATAGCGCTGCAACTTAACAATTCCACTCCATCATCAGAGCATATTTCACATCGATTTGTGTAAGTTTTCCCATTTTAATTATCATTCATGATTTGTTCACCCCACAGCCACAGGCCGGCATATCAGCTGTGAAAAATCTTCTTATCAAACTTGTTTGACAGGTATTATTCGGCTGGCTCGTACAAGATCTGATAGGGGCAGCTGAGCTGCAGTCGCTCCCAGCTCATTCAATTGCCTTGCTCGCCCCTCCGATACCCTGTAATTGTCATGCGCATGCCAAATAGCATGTTCATAGATAAGAGAACTCGCTGGGTAGCTGGCAGTCGAGCTGCCTGTGTATTCTCGCACTTGTGTATTCATTCACATGCTCGAACATTGTTGTTGGCCTCACGTTTATCTGGCCCGACATGGGCTTCATTCATGCTAAGCCGCATTGTGTTTATTTGTTTTCATTAAGCCGCAATGCGTTGCCAAAACGCCTGAGCACAGCACAACAACTCATTAGAAGCACTGGCGCGGCTCGTACGAGTGTGTAGCAAATGGTTCAGCTGTTGTTGTTGTTGTTGTGGCAATCGCCGCAAACAAATATAGCCTCGCAAACGAATATGACATCGCCTTTGGCAGCGGCAAACCATATTTTAATATGCCTGGCCAGCTGCAGCCGTAGACGAGCTTTATGGCCAATTATCTATTCTATGGGCCCATTAATGGCTGAATCGAATTTTGAATGGTTTCTGGGAAAAGACGAGCCAGCGACAGGGCGACGACTATCGGAGGTTTGGCTGGCCGTGTCAAGTGCTTTGGGGAATACATTGTAAAGTTGGGCGTGCGCATCGTAATGCGTAGATAATACGCCACTTCCAGGCCCCTATATCCCGCATAGTTATCGGCCGTAATTGGCCGACTGTGCAGTTGTGGATGGAGGTCCCTCCTTCCTGGTCAGCCAGCCAGACCGAACACTTTGCCTCTTTACGACGACAACATATTACATTTAATTGACAATGGCGGCAGCTGAAGCCAGCGCCAAGTTTATGGAGCTCAAATGTCCCCTGGGCACTTCCAATGAGAGTTGCCGCGCATAATATTTGGCAATAATGCTGGAAATATACCTGAAACACAGCCGAAAAGCATTTGACATCTGTTGCAGATGATTTTTTATGCACTCGTAATTGAAACAGTTGTTGCCCAGCCTTTAGCATTGCGAGTTTATTCACACAAACCGCAAATATTTTTGAAATTGACTCTGCACAATAAACAACTGTTAATAGTGTTGATAAACAATTAAGAAGGCTTGAATTTTGCGTGCCCAGCTCCGAGATACCTTGTACTTTACGTTTGAATATTTTGCCAACATTTTTGAAAATTTTTAATTTTTTTTTTATATAGCATCCCATCTCCCATAAGTAAAAAGTTTATTTTCTATTTTGTATTTTTTTTTTCTTAATTTTCAATTTAATACAGAAAAAACAGGGTATTTTCTTTGAATACTTAAATAATCTTAATATGTAAAATAACAATTTACGTCTACATTAAAGAATTCATTTTTATTATTCAATAAAATATTGTGCAAGTGCTTTATATTATTTATTATTATTATGAATTCAAGTGTAAGGTAACTTGATAGCTGGGAATTTGTTGTTCTGTTTGACCATGTGTTAAGTAATGCAGTTCTACATAGATAATATATACATATATAGATAATATATGCATGAGCAGAAATTGTATGCAATTGCAGCTAAGGTCAAGTTTTTACGACACTTTTTCCTAATAATAATAAATTTGTTATGTGTATTTAATAATCAACTCAATCACAGATAGCTGCCATATATAAACCTATAAATATATATATTTATATATATTTATTTATTTCTGCTGATGCGCTCTGGCTACACATGATTTCATATGCCGTTCGCCAAATCGCAGCGACTTGTTGTTGTCATTATTGTCATCATTATTGCTGTCGTTGTTGTTGTTACTGTTGTTGTTGCTGCTGTTGTTGCTTTAGCTGTTGCCATCGGAGCGCGCCCTGGGTGTCGTTTTGCATCAAGTGCAACGGCGATGGCCGCCGGCAGCCTCCGTGTTTGCTGCTGTTGCTTTCCGTTTGACTGGCTGCAAATGTAATTAAGACGTGATGGAATTTTCATCAATTAATTTTATTTTAATTGCCGTGCCACATGAGTCATTTGCAACGCCCTATTAACCGGGCGTTTATACATTCAAATATTTGCCGCCATCCGAGCGGCATTTATGAATTGTCCAAGCAAGAAGCTGAACAATATTGAATTCAATTTGAGCTACGCATGTTAACTTATTTAATGAAATTATGCATACGCCCTGTGGCCAATTGGCTGCAAAACTCCTCATTCGATCCGACATTACACGCTTGTTCTTGCAGTGTGTGACATCAATAGCCGCTGCATCAGACCTTCATCTGCTGCCAGAGCTTCTTGCATGCGGCATTCATTCACAAAAGCAATTGCTGACTGCGGGCTTAGCTTATTATGAGTGATGTATGGGCGCCGCAGCTTGAATTTCCGAGTCGCTCTATTTATAAGTGCATGTGTAATCAGCAGACATTGACAGCAACTGAGACTCTGACGGCGACTGCGACTGCGACTGCGACAGCGACTACGTGCGGTCCGTCGAACGCGAGCCACATATGAACACGTACCGCAATTGAAATTCATAGATGCCAGTCTCATACACACACACACACACATACGTGTGTGCAGATGTAGATATACATACATTATTTTATTCACTCATCGCATATAATAAGTATATAATAATGCTTTTGTGTTCGTTTTATACAAATTTATACATATTAAGTTCTTAAGCATTTGGTATGCAAAGTGCGAGTGCGTTTCATTACTAGTTTCATAGTATATATGTGTGTGTGTGTGTGTGTGTTTGTGGGTGTGAGAGCGTAACGAAATGCTTAACCGACATCTCTATTATCAACGCAACAGAAATCGAGGCTGCTGCTGTTATCAGCTCTCACTCAGTCAACTTTTGTAGTTCGACAACTATTTCTGGTTCGAGCTTGATTTAGTTTTGCTTTGCTCGGCTGAGCAGCAGCGAATTGTTTCGAGGATAGTTTCAGATATATAAAGCGTGCTAACTGCTCTTCAGCTTGTCTGCACTTATAAAACTTGAGACTTGGCAATAAGTGCTTCAAGTCTAAGAGCAGTTGCTTAAAGTGTTTGATAAACAATTGGATAACAAGTTTGTTTTTTGTTTTCATTAGTGAATAAACAATTTTTATATGAAATTAAATGTTTTCATATATTGATCATAATTTAATGTATTTTTGATTTCCCCTCTAATTGAACATTTTATATTTGAATTCGATTTAAAAGTTTTGCTTGATTTCACTCAAAAAATTCAAACTAAATTTATATTTTTACAGAAAAGAAAAATACCATTAGATTGGATTGGTTTGAAAAGTTTTTGATACTCTTATTTCTTATTTCTTATGCATATTTCATATGTAGATATATTTTCCGATTTATTTTGTTATGTATTTTTAAAAAAAAATTTTATTTAATTTTATGTATTCTAATCCATAATAAATTAATAAATTTACCCATTTTGGCATTCCTTTATGCAGTGCATTCGGCAGTCGTTGTGCGGCTGTACGCGCAGCTCTTCAATGATTTATTCGAGACAAAATGCACATGAAAATGCCAGAAGAGGTCTCTGCCAGCGGCGCAGTCGACGCTGCACTAAAAATACTCAGTGGCGTTCACTTACGTTTGGTATTTTTATTTGATTTCATTTAATTGCTCTGCTCAGTTGTTGTTGTTGTTATTGTTGCTGTTGTTGTTGTTGACTGCTGCCGTTGCTGCCTTGTTAAAGTGTTTTCATTTAATTTTGTGTGGCTCAAGTTCATGGCCCCAAACACATATAAAGCGCTTCCTCAGTTGAACGGGGCAGCAAGCGTTGCCGTTGTTGTCATTATGCTGCGTTCAATTAACCAAAAATGTATTTCGGCTCTTGGGCTTTACGTCACATTGGCAACAATAATTCAAAACAGAAACATAAACAGAAGCTGAAGCAGAAGCAGAAGCAGTAACAATGCCATCAATTTGCTGGCCCATTTATTGAGCACTGTGCGTTCGGCTTGGTAATTGATTTTGACTGCCCTTTGTTAATGCGATAAGCGGCCCACAAAGCTCGATGAGAAATTGATTGCACCTTCAGGCTGAAATGAAGCGCTCATATGTCGCTCGTTTCTGAATCTGGCTCGGGCTCTGACATTGAGACTGCAGCGGCATGTGCAATGCGGCGTATGAGCGATGCCAATGCTCGCTCTCTCTCACCCTCTCTCTCTTTGTGTGTCTGTAAATTTGACTGACGATTGTGCATCATTTAGTCATGATGTCCATGTAAATCTGACGCCACTAGTGCCCATCCTCCTCTCCGCCCCCTCTCCCACAATTGAATGCACCCACGTGCCAGTGTGCAAGCGCTGCTCGATTCATGCCAGCACAGTTCACATGCTGGCGATTGCCCAGGAGCACGGCGACACGATTATCTTTCCTCTTTTGTGGCTCATCAGTCAGCCAATCAATTCTGTTGCCGCAAACAAGTCAAGCCCCTCTCTCAGTCAGCGGCAAACATTCGCTGACTGCTACGTCATCAGCAACAACAACAACAACAACAACAAGAGGAAGAGCGACTGACCGACAGTCGCTGCTCTTGGCAGTTGCAGTGATTTTTATGTCTCCGGTTCTAATTAGAAATTGTACATTGGCTGACATTGAGCGTTGATTTATATGAAATGCGAACAGATTTTTTGCCTGGGTTCCCACAGACAATCTCACAGTCTCTCCCCCCCCCCCTCTCTCTCTCTGTGTGTGTAGACGTGTATTAGGGGCTGGTTTATCATTCGTCAAGCCAATGACTGATGACTGCTTTCCTAATTGTTCGCAGCGTAATTTTTGCTACGTTCGTTAGACCTGCAATGCAATTAGCATACAAAGCACGTAGCGTATTCAGAGTGAAATGAAATTTGTATTAACACAATTGTCGTTGTTGTTGTTGCCAGATTTAGTAACTGTTTTTGCCTTACGCCATTTAGTGTCAGCAGTTAACTCTCGGTGTTTTTGTCACTTCCACCACCACCCACCAGCCATCCATTGTCTAGCAGCGAGAGATTCACATTTAGTCGCCGGCTTCGACTCCACGCTGCTGTCTTTCCAAATGAGTCGAGGGGCTTTTTACAGCCGAGGCGAACCTTTTTATGGCCATTAAATGCGATTCATCAGCGATGTGGCTAAATTTTCACAGTCAATGCCCAGGCCACACGGCATCAATTGACAGCTTATGAGCTTCCCGACTGGCCTCAGCAGCAGCGGGGGCAGCAGCAGCGGCAGTTGTTCACGTTCATTGCTTTCGATATAAATAACAAAATATAATCAAAATAAACATGTACAAAATATACGGAAAATATTTTCAATTTAGCTTAAAGCTTCATTTTATAAATATATATAGAAATAGATGTACTATGCATATGATGCATATATGAAAAATAAACCTATATTTGTATTTCAGCTCAATTTAAGCCACTCATTACAGGTGAATGCGATTCAAGAGAATATGGCTCGATTGATTTTTAATAATTCAAATTTAATCCAGCTGCAACAATTGCTTTTTGCTGCAAATCAAATGTTGGGAGTCATAGCTGGATGCCTCAAATATGAATCAAATCTAAGCCGTTATTGCAAAGATAGATCATGCATTCATATTTAAATTTTATTTAAAATGGATTGATTAGTCGGCATGAGATGGTTGTCAGGATTGCCTTGAGTCATCTTCATAGGATTGAAATGCTTGGATAAGCCTTCTTTGAACCTAGGGCATTAAACGGCCTTCGTCTGCTTGTACTTAGGAGATTAGGTTTTTAATATTTGTATAGATAATATTAATATAATAATAAAATAATATATATGTATATTAATTTATATAATAATTAATACAAATTTCGACTAGATATACTAGATTCTTACTCAATAACGAAAGTTTTCCGCCTTCAATAAATGCAGACAATCAATATACTCTATTCATTTGCCTATTGAGCATTCATATATTTAAGATTACTTTTCAAATTTCACTTGTTAATAAGCATTACTGAGCAATGAATTACAAAGCGAAATACACTTCAATTACCGAGCACAGTTTGCTTTGTAGCGGGAGTTGAAAATGAAATGAATTTGCATATGTTTATATATGTTTATACGTATTTAATGGGACTTGCCTGCTTTGTCTGGAGCTGTTTAGTAAAAGTAGTTTCTTGTGAGCCTTAAGGTTCCAGCTATCACACTAGGGCCTAACAGCTGCTGTTGTCGACCTCTGACACGAAAAACTCATTAGGAATGTGACCCGTGCCGTTGCGGCCCTGGATGGCGAAATGCTCACAGATGTAAATTATGAAAATTGTGCAAATTTGACAAGTCGTAAATGTTGGCCTGCCAGCTGACAGATTCTCGCCAGCAGCCGCAAGTGTGGGCGTGTGTGTGGCTTAATCAAATTATAGTTGCATTGCTCCAATCACTTGAATAGACAAAGGCAGCAAATTGCGAAATGAATATTGAATTATGTTCTGCTTTTCATATTATGTACTTTGCTGCATTATAAAGTCGACACCAATGAGGCCCATTTAAGTTTAATTATGGCATTAACATGCACACATTGTGTGGGCATTGACACGGCGCTTACAGTCTCCAATTAATGAGGTTTCCCATTCAGATCAATTGAATTAGTGTCGAAAAGAAAAATAAAGGAGGAAAACTATTGCACGTCAGCTGGTTGATGCGTAACAGGGCAGACCGCAAACGAAAATTAAATGTGAGCAAACAGAAGCCTCTTTGACCGCAGGCCAGACAGCCAGACCCTCTCCATATGCTGCAGGATATCAAATTAATTCAATAAAGCAAACAATCTGGCAACAAAAACTGTAATTTCATTAGGTAAACATTGCAATGCATTTGTTCGAGTCCCCTGCGCCAATTTACCTGATCCAAATGCTAGCTAGCCCCAGTTCAAAAGGTTCCAAAGTTCAAGTTTGCTAATTAATGTTACGCCTCTGGCTACACACTATATATACATATATATATACATGTATGTATATACACATGTTCAGCTATGCATAACATTTATATTTCGTGATGCGGCCTCCATTGCAAATGTGCCGAAAACCAAAATCAATAAATATTATTGCCCGACTCGAAAACGTTCGGGCGTTGAGCACAAATGCGATTTTAAAGATAGCCAAAATTAATAAAAATCGCATCCAATTGGGTAGCCAAAGGCGCGTAAACATGTCCAAATACGTGTAATTTATGTTCAAATATATATTTTTTGATTTTTCTGTATTTATGCTTAAGAGAGCATATATCAGAGCTAAATGAATTGCCTGAGAGACTTTTGTTCCTATGCAGTTAATGGAACTACGACTCTCTGTACCCTAAATTTTTTTGCAATTGAATATACAGAGTATAAATATGTTGTATTTATATACAGAATAGTATAGAAATAAAATCCTTATAGCTATAGCTCGCAAACTATGGGTATTTCCGACTGAATAATACTCATTCATGGCTCAAACATACAAATCGTCAGTTAATGACGCTTCATTTTATGCTTTATGTCTATAGATTGTATACTATATTATATAATATCATCATATAA